GAAATCGCTGATTGTGACGCACTGAAAGCAATATTGACAGATTTTATGGGTCAAACACATACTTCACGTCCTCATCTTATAACTTACAAGTTCTAATTATCACTATACCATCTAATTATTTCATAATTCTGAAAAACATTTTTTTATAGCAAGTGAGTGGAAGTAACCCTGCCTAACAATAGTTTTCTTGAATCAACTTAGGCAATTGTTTATTATTTATCAGTCAACAGGTAAAATGTTTACTGAAAAATATAGTTGAGCCAACCGAGGAGCCAACTATGGACTATAGTTGTTGCCCTCTATATATAGTCAAATCAACTATAGTTTCGGGTTATCTCTAAAACAATTGAACAATATAGTTATTTTGACCGGAAAAATAATTGCGTCTGCTATAATCATCAATTTCTCTAACGTAGAAATTGTACAAAAGGGGGCTTAAACATGAGCCCTGGGGGAGACCCATGTAACTAAATCGAAAAGCTGTAGAGTTTCCATGAGAAAAGCTCATATGTTTTTCTGACAGCAAATTGTCCAAAAAATTATTCATTACTCCACAAGCGTGGAGTTTTTCTGAAAGAACTTCAACGGATATTGAATCAAAAGCCCCCTTGATATCCAAGAACACAGAAGCCATTTGCTCTTTCTTAGCAAAAGCCAACTGAATTTCCGAGGAAAGCAACGCGAGACAGTCGTTCGTTCCCTTACCCCTACGGAAACCAAATTGAGTATCTGAAAGAAGGTGGTTCTTCTCAACCCATTTCTCGAGGCGAAAAAGGATCATTTTCTCCATCAATTTCCGAATGCACGACAGCATCGCGATGGGCCGATACGAATTGTGAGCCGACGCGGGTTTATCAGGCTTTTTAATGGCTATCACCTTCACTCGTCTCCAATCGTCGGTACTCACATGAAATGTTGTGCAAGTACCACAAGTTCAACAACGCTCAACTATGGACAGCTCAATGTTAATACCATTTAATCTTTGAAACAACGTACTGTACATGTAACACCAACATGATAATCTGCTAAGAAACACCTAAGAATGTACTTTATAAACATCAAACTGTCCAATATTGGACCCTACCAACACAAGGTGCCTGCACGGCAACGTGGGCCGTCAGAATGGTTCATCGGTTGCGAAGTTTATTTACTTATTTATTCGTCAATCAATCAAATCGTAGACTACATATTAACATTAGGACTTAAGTTCTATGATTTCGTAAGGTTCTGAAATAAATCTTTAATTCTGTTGAGGACATATTTAGGTCAATCATTTCACAATGATGAGTATAAACAGTCATCATCTGATTTACCGGTCCAAATTTAGCGTAATTGGTCCGATGGCGATCTACTGCGAACAACTGTCGATTGCGTAATTGTCGGGAAGGTGCATACAAATTTAACCTTGACAATAGATCAGCTGAGTCAATGCGTTGCGAAATGATATTGTTTAATAAAGAAATCTTTGCGTAATCCCGACGTTCTCTCAATGTTTGAATGCTGATCAGCAAGCAACGTGCTTCATATGATGGGAGAGGAAAAGCCGTCTAACCTAACTTACGTAGTGCATATACTAAAAATTGCTTTTGGATTGACTCTATTCGTTCATGCTTTTTCATATAGGGTGACCAAACAACGCTACAATATTCTAAAATTGACCTCATATAAGCAACGTAAAGTGATTTTATTGTATAAGGATCTTTAAAATAGAGACCGAAACGTTTTATAAAATTAAGCATATTGCCTGCTCTATGTATTATTATTGGTCCACAAATGTCAATTTAGAATCTAGAATAACACCTAAATCTCTTACATTTTCACATTTTTGAACATTTTCATTACCTAATGTAATACAAAGATTTTGTTTGTTTAGTTTCAATAAGCTTTTACTACACCATCTGTAAAAAAATGTATTTCATTTTGAAACACATTCATATCGTTATCGCTTCCTATTTCTAAAAATAGTTTCATGTCATCAGCGTATATAAGTACCCTGATATCTTTTAAAATAAGAGAGGCGTCATTAATGTACAAAATAAAAAAAGGGGTCTCCCGTGTGACAGGCGGGGATTTTGATGTTCTGTTAAGGTAATTTTCATTTTCATTTTATGATGTACAAGGGGGTCAGGGGCCATGTCACCGATGTGAATATTCACACCATCCATAATACACCAGGGAAGGGGAGAGGAGTGAGCAACACAGCATCTTTACCCATGGGGGTTAAAAAAGTTCTGCGAGGTATACTTATGGTAAACCAGCTGCTCAGGGATTGTAGAAAGGAAAGGGTTGGATAGGTTTTGTGTGAAAAGCACATAAGTTATTATCGTATCGTTGAAAAATGGCCTCGTTTGGTTTGCGCTCTCGTCACAGAGCGCATTGATTACATCACACCGTCAATGAAAAAGAAATTAAAAGAGATTGAAAGAGATTATTAGTGAGTTTTAAACTGTGATTTACCTATTAGAAATACATTTGTAAAATTGTCTCCGTGTACTGAACAACCATCCCTCTCGCCCTCCCGCCGCCTAAACGTCTGAAGGAGTGTGACGTCAAACTCCGTCATCCATTCAATCAGCCGGAGAACGAAAGAGCGTGCAATGAGCGTCAGCGACCCTAATAAAGGGTGGGGAGCACCATACATGAACGATACCACAAATCGTGCCACCGTGCCACATATTGTTGGGATGATAACCCGAATAGGTTGTTAGGCACTCCTTATGGTTATCGTTTATGCAGGTGTTTCAAAGGAATTTACATCTAATCAACCCTCTGTGCGACCCAACCCGTGCAATGTATTTAATGTTGAGAGCCTTGTGTGCCTTCTCATGAGTGGTCACGGATCTGGCAATCTTCACATGACTATGCTTCCCGGTGACGACGTTCCCATGTACTCCTTGTTTACCTTCAATACTACTTCCTTCTCTTGTTGTATTGTGTTTCTGGATAATGGATCCTCGCTCCGGAATGTCTTCAAAACTGGGGGGATTTAAATCGCTCCTCGTGCACAACCCTTCCAGATGACCGAAAGAGCGCTCAGTCCGATGGTCTCACCCGATATTCTTGAAATATTTGACATTTTGAATAAAACATTGCCATTTCGAGACTTCGTGTTGTTAGTTTTCTTGAAGGTCTTGTGCTTAATGCTTGATTTGTCTTTCGCTTCGTATTTCTAAGAATTGACTCTATAAATAGATAAAAAAAAAAAACAAAAACAAAAACAACGCTTCCCGCCCATAAGCTGTAGACCGAGTGCAGAATCTTTGTGATGATACTTTCCAAACGTGCATATCCATAGAAATAAATCTAATTCAATAAAGGATTGATTTCTACTGCGACTAAATTCAGCATTCCTACTAAAATATCAAACGCTGTACTTAATCATTTATTATTAGTACAGAGCAATAAACAATGTACGATGATGATTAATCCGTTAATATGCTTTTATAAGCGGGTTCAAATGCACTTTTGGTAAGTATCAACACTGATCTGGCAACACTAGTGTGCATCTTTCCAATGTGGTAAAGATCCAGATCAGCCCTGGGACCTGGTAGCCTAATTAAACTACCTCAAGGTTTTGCCAAAGCCCAGGGATGTTCTGTTAAGGTAATAAAAACAAAACTGAAGTGCAAATGCAAATGCTATGAAATTGGTCAATTGCTTAAACTGAAATCAAATTATGGTTTCACTTTCATATCAAAATTAGATTTTGATTTACTGTCATTTAGTGCTGGACTTTGCTAGCCCCCACATAAATCTCCACCATACGATGACTACATGTAAAACAGTTTATCTTCCTATGAAACCCATTTTGAGTATGGTTTACTAACTAATATCAATATTGTTATCATCATCATAGCAACCCACATCTGCCAACGTTTAACAGATTACGATTTTGTCCTAAGTCCGCTTATTATACCAATATTTTGGTTGTGCATTGTGATATTTTAAGATTTGTTGGTTTTTCACATACACTAGTGAATGACTTAGTAATCGCTATCCACACATTCAGCTCAATTTAAAACATCCAAATTACATTATTTTGGATTTTTTAAAACTACGCGAAATTATGGTACTTTTTGGTACATGGGAAACAAGATCAACATGGGACTGATACGCGATTACATGCAGTATATAAATTTGGTACTCATAGGGGAAATGGCTCTAATGTTGGCCTATGGATCTAAGATTAGGCCCATCGCTAAAAATCTGCTATTTATCAATTTTATCTAGATGAACGCGTCATTGGGACTAATGGATATGTTTGGTTGCTATTAAAATTTTAGTCGATTGCTGAATTTATGTACGGGCCCAAATTAGGGACACTTAGGCCGACATTACATACATTTCCCCTACATATAAAATCTTTCTTTTCAGCGCAGCAAGCTTGTGGTGGTACAAAAATGGGAGAATGTAGGAGTTCACCTAGTATACATGCCGGTCACTTGAAACTATTCTCACAACAAGTTTAAGTTTAGCTTCAGTAATCATCTGGAGCTCTAACAAGTAAAACGTACGAAGGTAGGTTCGCGGAAAGCTCCCTGAATTCCAGATTTATTTATACACAAACCGGTTTTCGTCGCACGGAAGAGAAATGAAAGAAAATGGATATTTAGTTGCATTATTAGCTTAGCTCTAATGCATAAATTGCAGCATCGAGTAGAATAATTTAGTAAAAAATGGCAAGCGTCGTTTTCAAACAAAATTGAACATAACATAGACTTTGATAAATAAATTTAATTGCACATTTGCATTGTTCCGACTCACGACTTGAACCCTTAAATGCATGATTTTTTTATTTTGCAATGAATTTTTTCGTGTGATATACATTGCGCTTACTATTAAAATGTTGTTTCACCATGTTTAAAGACAAACATAGGTATGTTGCCAAATGGCAACACTATGCATTTAAGGGTTAAATTCATTTGCATATTATATTGTTGTCCTTCTTGATGTGAATATGCATTAATATGTCATTTGAAAATTTATACCGTTTCAGCGCAAGCATCATGAAAATATACGCTGTATCCGATGGACCACCGTCGTTGGCGGTCCGAATGACGTTGAAAGCGTTGAATATTCCCCACGAACACGTCCCCGTGGATTTCGGCAAGGGAGAGCACATGACGGAGGGTTACGCTAAAGTAGGTCTATTATTTGATGCTTAGCTTGTCGTAACGATATAACATTGCAATAAAGTTAAATAACACCACTGGCCAAATAGTGATCACTGTAAAAAGTAACCTTTCACAGATGAATCCGCAAAAGGAGATTCCCGTTCTCGAGGATGACGGTTTCTTCCTGAGTGAGAGCAATGCTATTCTGCAGTACCTTTGCGACAAGTACGCCCCGGACAGCCCACTATATCCGAAGGACCCAAAGGAACGCGCCCTGGTCAATCATCGCCTTTGTTTCAACCTGTCGTACCTGTACCCGCAGATATCGGCCTATGTGATGGCTCCGATTTTTTTCGACTACGAACGGACCCCGATGGGATTGAAAAAGTTGCACATCGCTTTGACCGCGTTCGAAACCTATATGAGTCGATTGGGCACTAAATTTGCGGCTGGAAATCATCTTACCATTGCCGACTTACCGCTGATTACTTCGGTAATGTGCTTGGAAGGAATCAGTTTCAATATTGATCAATATCCTTTGGTCAAGGCATGGTACGCAAACTTCAAGCAGCAATATCCTGAATTATGGTCCATATCGGCTGTCGGCATGGCCGAGATTACCGAGTTCGAAAAAAATCCTCCAGACCTAACTGGAATGGATCACCCCATTCATCCCATCAAGAAAGTAAAGAAATGAACTGTCGGATACGTTTTACGCAATAAAGAAACGTTTTCTTGTTTCCTTATCGTACATTAAAAACGGAAAATGACTTAAGTAACAGTAGAACGGTAAAGAAAAATGAAATTACCTCAATCTTGATGAAGCTTTCCCTTTGCCTTAGGTGAGGTTTTCGAAGTTATTTCGATTGATTCGACCACCTTTCTTTTGCCTGTTTCCGTGGCTTCCGGCTGGATAGTTTGTTGTTCGTACTCTTCGTTTAGTTTCTTCGCCAGGAAATATATTTCAGCTAGAGCAATAATAAGAGCAATCATGATACCGAGCAGTAATCGGAATCCGAAATCCAGTTGACCGATGATCAGTTCAATGCCAATGAATCCGAAAGCAAAACCGGCTGCTACTGAAAATATGAACTGTGCCACAGCAATCAATTGTCGATTGATTTGTTTCACTGAAAAAAACATCAAATAAAGGCAGTTGGTGAAACAAAAATAAAAGGAAACGCCCTTACTCTGATAGGCGATTGTGTCCTGCGGCATCAGTGTCCGAACGTTGTCAACATTTCTCGTCATTGCCTGGTATTCCTTAGCTTCTTGCTGCTTGCGAAGCTTCTGACACCGAGCTTCAAGCTCTGGGTTTCGTTCCTGGATTTCGTTTTTCGGTAGTACCATTTCGCAATCTTCCATGAGTTCGTGTAAATACGGTACGTCTGGGTCGCCTTTTCGCAGCCGATTTAATGCCTGATGCAGCCATTTTAGGTCATTTAATGATAGCGTTAACGTGCTGGCACTGGTATTTTGCGAGCTTGATTTCAGAATATCATCCGACTTTGCATCAGCTTCAACGCTATTTACATCATCAAGATCGCAGTTCATCAGATTATTTTCCTCGTTTTGAGCCTTCATAAATTCATATTCCTCTTCCGTAAATTCGACTGCTTTCTCTGGAGCTTCGGCTTCGATTTTGCTGCATTTTGACAAATTATTTTTGCAAATATTCTGGATTGTTATGGGTAAACGTGAGTCACGGGAGAATCGGCTTGTTATGAACTTTCGGAATGCAGGTGACGGTATAACGTTCACTGATGAGTATTTGATGGGAAGTTTGGACATTTCTGAAATAGAAATAAATTATTTTACTTATTGCCGAATCGAAAGTGCATATTTTCAATTTACCTTTGCTGTGAAATACTTGAGTTTCTGCCAATTTTAAAGAATGAACCAAAACGCCGAATTTGTTTTGAGCATCATGTGATTGTCAAATATTTTTATAGCACGCACTTGCTTTAGCAGTGTTGCGAGAATTTTATGGAAAATAGAAAGGGTGTCACATCAGACCTGGAATGGGACTCGACAATTGAGTTCTCCAAGCAGGATCTCACGAACACTACACTAATAATATAATTCTACACACACTAGCGTATACTAGCGTATGTGCACGGTAAGAATCAAACTTCCATTTATGAGTAAAAGTGAACCCATTGTCAATAAAAGTGACACCCCTAATTAATGAGTAATTTATTGTGCGTTTCACACCAAATTGGACTAATAACCCGCATAAACGCGAACCATAAATTAACCTTACCTAAAATGGTTAAAAATTGTTTATAATCCCTGCTAAACTTTAACTGAAATGGTTATGGAACTTTACATGAACGTTTAATGATAAAGTTTTAACCTTATGTATTATGGTTTTTTGGAACTGGACCTTACAAATAATGGGTTGTTAAGAACCATTACCATTCCAAATTCTTGTTTTCTCCATACATTTTCAGAAAGAGAACTATATAAGAACGTTTTTACTTATGATTTGAGAACATTAATGGTAATGGTTATGGTAGTCAGTAAGGTCCATTAATGGTTTTGTATTATCGCTCAACTTTACGTGGAATATATCGTGAATTGGTAATCAGTAAATTACAGGCAACGGTAATGGTTCTTAACAACCCATTATTTGTAAGGTCCAGTTCCAAAAAACCATAATACATAAGGTTGAAACTTTATCATTAAACGTTCATGTAAAGTTCCATAACCATTTCAGTTAAAGTTTAGCAGGGATTATAAACAATTTTAAACCATTTTAGGTAAGGTCAATTTATGGTTCGCGTTTATGCGGGAAGCGCGTTTTCACTTATTAAAAAGTGTGATAAAACTGCAAGTTTACGTCTAATCGTCTTGGTGTCTAAGGTGCACTTATTCCATATGATGCAAGCAATAAGTGCTCCGAAGACATCAAAACGATTTGACGGAAACGTGCACTTTTATCACACTTTTTGCATTTTTGGGACAGTCCAGTTTCAGATGCAATCAGCAATATTATACCAATTAAGTACTAACTGTTAGCTACTGTTAGCAGAAACTCATTATTGTTAAAATAATTTACTCATTAATGAGTAAAGCCACTTTCATTAAAAATGGGTTATCTTTTACTCATAAAAGGGTAATTGACTGTTACCGTGCAAGCGTAGGGTTTGTTTTCGTTTTGTTGTTTATTTTTACTTTAGAATGACAGTTCTTGCAGGAAACAAAAAAAAATCTCATACCTAACAAATCTTAGAGATGAACTAGCCTAAGGCTAAAAATCTCTTAAATAAAGAATTAAAAAAAAAAAAAAAACAGCTAACAAAAAATTTCATCTCACTAACACACGCAAATCGCACCAATACGAACCCGCCTGGAGAGGACTATAAATAGATCAATACACAGTTTTTATGTATATATGCAGCTGTCAAAAAATGTGTAAATTTGGAAATCTTAAAAAGTGTAAAAAAAATACACATTTTTAGAATGTGGTACCAGTCAAAAAATGTGTATTTTTATACACATTAATGGGTAAAAAAACTTCAAACTTTGGTGTATCTTGCCTTGTTTACGCACGCCATTTGTATATATTTCCTGTTGTACGGAAAATGAAGGAACCACGGTCCAAGCTGGACAGTGCAACGATAGACATACTATAGAGGGTAGGTGATTTATACCCCGTTCACATTACAGCGTATATCACGTGATATACGCTATCTTGCAATGAGCACTCGTACATCTAGTTTTCACTGGAAATCCTATGTATGAGTGTACATTGCAAGACAGCCTACACACTTAAATTTTTTCGCCGAGATTCCAACAGCCGAGTAGTTCTGCAATTTATTTTGCTGAGATTCAGTAAAACAATTGTCGAGACTTAGCTAATAAATATCATTTTCCTGAGATATCAGCTAACAAACAGATATTTTGCAGACATATCAGCAAAAGTAAATGCCGAGGTAATCGGCTGTTGGAGATTTTACCGAGCTAGATTAAGTGTGTATATAACGTGATATAGACTGTAATGTGAACGGGGTGTTACACTATTTTTATGGTTAAGTTTGAGAAAAAAAAAATCATATTCAATGTCCGGTGTCTCGCTTACTTGCTTCATACTGATTTTTGTTTTTTTCCTTAATTTGTTTTCCGTGCTGAGCACCAATTCTACTGACGACAGGAAGGCAGCTCCCACACCTGGATCCTTCCTATCGATCCATCAACTCATGAACCAGGGACCAATGGCTTTACTTCCCTTCCGAAGGAAGGCGTGATTCTCGGCGTGATTCTCGGCGTGATTCTCGGCGTGATCAGAGATGTTATGCCTCAGAACATCCCAGCCGTGCCAACTGGGATTGAACCCAGGCCTGCTGGGATAAGAGGTAATCACGCTTATCACTACACCACCGGCACCGCTACTGAGTTTTTTGATGGCATTCCTTTTTTTTAATAAAATATTATTGAATTCGAGCAATCTCTATTTTATCCTCGATTTTATCATTGACACAAATAAGAAAATTCCGAAGTTAATAAAAAAAACCATGCGCACCCATTATATTAAAGTTCTATATATGATTAATTTTTACACATTTTGCTGTAAAAACCGTTCTTGAAAAATGTGTAAAAAATACACTTCTATTGACGTTTGCTGGGTTTACACATAAATGTGTAAACGCAGTTTACACATTTTATGATTACCCGACCAACCGTTCGTGAAACTTCTTCAAAGTTCTTTATTCGCCTTGACACCAGTCCCGAAGTGACGTTTCTTCACACACATTTTGACAGTTCTTTATGGGGTTTTGCGTTGGAGTGAGAGAATAAGAAAAAGTCCGCCATGTTGCACACATAGACTGACAGTTACATATGAGATTTTTCCATAGGAGTAAAGAGTTACAGAGCTCTCGTCAACGTCAATACATTTATGTCGGCAATTCTTTACTTTAAATTTTCTATGATTTCGATGTACACATATAAAAATCTTTATTGATCGATACTTAAATTTAAGATTATTCCTTCATCGGTCATATGATAGTAATCTATAAAGGTGCTATACTAAATTTCTTTTAATTTCGATTTGTCACATGGACTTTAGTATTCTTTACAAATATTCATCAATAAATATTTAATTACTGATATCATCGTAACTTTGAACTTTGACAAAGAACAACAAAGATTGCCATCGATGCACATTTATAATCTCCTTGTTATCAATTTGCATCGCTGGTTAAAGAGAGTTCGAGACACGCCAGGTGACAGATGGCAATGTTTATATTATTTATCGACATATTCGGCATTTCATCGGAAGAAGCAATCTGCCGGTAAATGAACGAGAAGACCGATGGCCGCGACGCAGCAAATGTTTCCGATTATGGTGGGAATTTGGGACCCAATGAGTAAAATCGATACCTTTTTGACCTATATTACACCTACATGGCTGACTGGTTGATGGTTATGACAAATAAATATTGAATTCATGTATGAAAAGATTTACAGAAATTTCAACACTCCACATACTAGAGTGTGTTTGCCTGTCATTGATAAGCTCATCAACAGCAGCCGTGGACCCGAGGATTAGCAACCAACAACGAAATCAGTACACCCCAGATGGCATGGGATCGAAACTAGAAACTATGCAGATAAAAAATCACAAATAAAATCAGCAGTTGTGCATCGATATTTTGATTTTACAACAGAAATCGATATTTTGATCTGGCAACACAATCGATATTTTAACATTGGTAATAAACGATTCACGATTAGACTTTTAGCATCTTTACAATTTTTCATGAAATGTTGACGATCGCTATCGATTTTTCTTATGAATGGAATCGATCTTCAACGATATATAGAAAATTAAAGAAAATTAACGAAATGGTTGGTCGGGTAGTAATATATTACATCATTATTATTATCACTTATACCCCGTTCACATTACAGCGTATATCACGTGATATACGCTGTCTTGCAATGAGCACTCATACATCTAGTTTTCACTGGAAATCCTATGTATCCTCGCTCATTGCAAGACAGCCTATATTACGTGATATAGGCTGTAATGTGAACGGGGTATTAGGCCGTATTCTCGGCAACCTAAGCAGCGACCATCTTTCTATAGTTTTTTTCTCTGAGGAACGCACACATATGCAGTATTGGTGTGTTTACAATTTTTTGCTGCCAGCTGCTCTAACAATTCCAGTCGATAGAATTGTCAAAAACTGTTTTGAAACGCTTTAAAAAAGCTCCAATCTTCTCTAGTGAGAGCGACTATTGTGGGCAACATCTTTTTATTCGGCAACCTTTCTATTTGAGCTGCGTGTTAAACTGCTGTGTTTTCATCGGCAACTCGAAATCAACAGCATTTTATAGTGCGTGTGTTTCATTTCAAGAAAACCCTGCTAGATTGCTTTTTCTCCGTGGTAAAAACATAATCAATTTGAAGCTGAAAGCCTAAAGAATCATTTTAATGCATTCAGCGAAGTGTTTTCGTAAGAAAATCCAGTGTAATTATAGCGTTTCAATTTGGGTTGCCGAAAATAGTCTGTCATGCCGAAGCCGTCATTTCCCCTATATAATACATATTATCATCAACTTGAATTACGTTGATTGATAGCATTTTTTTGCTGTGTATTTCGATGAGTTTTTTTTTTCTTTTTTCCGTGTATGTACCCTATTCCCCAACACGGTAACCAGGGTAAACACATTAATGTGTAAAATTTCACACATTTCGTGAAAAAAGGAGCCTACTCACAAAATGTGTAAACTGCGTTTACACATTTATGTGTAAACCCAGAAAACGTCAATAGAAGTGTATTTTTTACATATTTTTCAAAAACGGTTTTTACAGCAAAATGTGTAAAAAGTAATCATTTCTAGAACTTGAATATAACGGGTGCGCATGGTTTTTTTATTATCTTCGGAATTTTCTTATTTGTGTCAATGATAAAATAAAGATTGCT